GTGGGGGAGGACTACTAGTCAGTCTATCTGAAACTTCAAGTCCCAAGTTCAAAAAAAAAATGAGGTGGAGAAGTGATGAAGACATCTAGATGTCAACCTCTGACCTCTATGCAGGCATGCATGCATGCACAAGTTCACCAGCACACACATGTACACAAGCATATACTGTACACAGGCACACATAAAATAACCATTCAGTTATATGGCATTTCATATGTTCACAATATTGTGCATCTCTAGTTTCAAAACATTTTTGTCACCTCAAAGAGATCCCCATACAACAGCGACTTTTCAACTTTTCCCCACCCCTGGCTACAGCCCATGTGCTTTCTAGCTCTGGATTTACATGGTCTGTGTCTTTGATATATGGATGGAATCACAGGACCCTGGTTTGCTTCTCTCAGGACAAGCTTTGGACATTTATTCACATATCATAAATCATTACTTCTTTATATTGCTGCTTAATATTCCATTGTATATGTTTACAATGGCTGCTTCACCGATTCATTTGTTGAATACTGGAGTTGTTTTCACCTTTTGGCAAGTGCTGAATAGTGCTGCTGTGAACATCTGCATAGAAATACTTGAGAACCTTGAAGCTATTGGGCACACAACCGGGAGTGCAAATGCTTGCTCACCAACCTTTTCCACAACTGGGTAATCACATTTCCATTATCGACGTTTGAGTGGCACCCTTCACGTGAGCTCATTTGTCCCTTTCCTCCTCGGTCTTGCAGAAAAGCCAGTCCCCACAGCCTCAATCCCTTTGCCCACACTGTGGAAGAAGCTGCACTTCCATGAACAAGATTCATCAGTCAAAGCCTCAGGCCTTGACTTTTCTAGGATTAGGACAGTGTGAGGAAGGGCAGACGGGACACGACGCCACTTTCTTGGGGTCACTAGGACACAAGGCTACGACTGCCATTCGTGACCCCATAAACCACCGTTCCAGTGACCTCCATCCAGCAACTCCATTCTCCGGGCTGCGAGCCTCAACAAACTCCTGCTCAGATAAGCAGAGGGCCTGAGGCAGAAGAAAACAGCCCGACGGGAGGCTGCAGCTGTGGTAGTGGTGGTGTTAGATCTTCAGCCTAATCCTTCCGCCTGCTCCCGCCCAGGACTGCCCGGAGGCGCCAAACCCCTGTCCCAGCTGCAGAGAGGGAGGGAGGGCCGGGGTTACTCTCGGTCAGCACCCGCCCCAGGGTTACTCGCGGTCACTCGGCCCACAGCGCCTGACCCCGAGCAGCCAATCATCAGCCGTACCGCGGGTCTGCCGGCCCCCGCTCCAATCAGGAGGTGCCGCCCCGGCAGCTGGCTCGCCCCCCGCGGCCCTTCTTCCCAGCGCGACTCCTACCTCTGTGCGTCCTGCCCCCATCCAGCGGGAGCCTGATGCTGAGGTCCTATGGGTGCTGGGCGCCTCCTGCACAGTCCGTCCCCTCTGCAGGGAGCCGCAGGGCCATCCCCGCCCCTACGGGGTGAGCTGCGGTGTGGACTCTGGTCCCCAGCTGCCTTCTAGATCCGGGGACTTGTCTAAGCAGCAGGCTGAGCAGGGTTTGTTCGTACTTCCATCTGTTTAGCGCAGGCTCCTCTCACGTAGGAAGAGCTCCTGGAGACAGCGAGACTGAAGGCGGTGCTGGAAAGCACAGCAACAAAGAGTTCAGGAACGTTCCAGGCTGATGGCAGCCGGGATGGAGTGTGGAGAAGAGTGGGAGGGCGAAGTGCAGGGGAGGCTGTGAAGGTCTGCCTGCAGAATCTACAGCTTTGTTTCTTATGCGTTTAAGGAGCTATGAAGTGTGTTCAAGGAAGACAGGAAAATATGTTTTCAGAAAGTTGCCATGGGGCTGGAGAGATGGCTAGGCAGTTACTTGATGCTCTTCCTGAGGACCCGGGTCCAGATCTCAGCATCCACATAGAGGCTGCGGAGGTCTCACCACCGCGCAGCCCTTGTCTGACTTACCTGGGCACGTGTAGACACATCAACTTGTATATAAATAAAAACAGAAGTAAATTTTTTGTAAAAAGTAAGCTAAAGCTGGGAATGGTAGTGTACACCTCAGTCCCAAGCACTCAGGTGAATCGCTAAGTTCAAGGCTAGCCTGGTCTACAGAGCAAGTTCCAGGCCATCTGAGGGTACAGGGAGACCCTGTCCCCCCCAAAAGGAAGTTACTGTGGTGACAACAGCAGAGCAGAGCGGACCAGACTATGGCTGGAAAGTCAGAATCAGGTTTTAGTGCAACTCCTGCCAGGGGTGTGGACCTCCGTTTCTGAGCAAGCTGTGGTAAGAGCAGTGTGAGAAAAGGAAGGGGCATCTGAGAGGAGTTTTGGAGCAGAATCAACAGCACTCATTTGGAGTAGAGAGGAACAGGATGGGCTTTTATCCTGAGTGACCGCAAAGGCAGTGCTCATCCCAACTGAAATTGGTGATCTCAAAAAGAAGCAAGTCTGGAAAGGGTCTAGGAATTCAGTTTCTGACCTAAGAATTGGAATTGCAGGAAATTTTACATATGTGGAAATATTGCCCAGGAGGCTCCAGGGAAGCAATATCTGTGGTATTTGAGAAAGAAGTAGAAAGAAGATCTAAAGAGTTTATACATTTAGGGAGAAAACCTAAAAAGAAATTAAAGACTAAGAATATTCAATGATAATATGTTAGAAAATAGTAATTCTGCAGACATACAGCACAGAGTAGTAACAGACAAAAACAAAAAACAAAATCCACCCCCACAAATGCAAACAAATAGCAACAAAAACAAAAAACAAACCAGCCAACAACATACACACACAACTGTAATAGTGTATTATAACTGAAAAAATAATTTTAAGTAGTAGCAAAAAATATATATATATGACAAAAAAGTCTTAAGTAATTTAAAAAATTTTTTATTTTATGTGTATATGTGTGAGTGCCTACATGCAAGCTGCCAGTGGAGGCCTGAAGAAGGCATCCATTGCCCTGAAACTAGAGTTACAGCCAGTTGTGGTCTGTCTAACATGGATTCTGGGAACAGAACCCTGCTTCTGTGAAAGAGCAGCAGATGTGCTTAACTGCTGAGCCATGTCTCCAGTCCTCTGGTGAAATAATCTTTACCTTTTTTTTTTTCCAATATTTTTTTCTTTGTTGAAACATTTATATTTTATTTACATTATATGTGTTTGCTTGCATGAGTTTATGTGCACCACATGCATGGGGGAGCCCACAGAGGCCAGAAGAGGGTGTCAGATCCCCTGGGACTGGAGTAACAGGCAGTTGTAAGCTGCCATGTGGGTGCTGGGAACCAAACCCTGGTCCTCTGCAAGAGCAGCCAGCAAGTGCTCTTAACTCTGAGTCTCTAGCCCTCCTATTTTTTCTTTTCACTAAATAAACTAACATTTGAAGAAATACTATGCACTTATAAAAATAAGATTTTAGAACTTGTGCTGCCACTCAGTGGTGATACATGTGTTTAGCATATGAAAGGCCCTGGATTCAAATCCCAGAAACAACTGCCACTCACATTCCACCTTTATGCTGTAAAACTGTATTACTTGCCATCAAAAAATGCTCAGTGATAGCCTGAAAGGGCTCAAAATGTAAAAGTAATTGCTACACAAGCCTTGAGTTTGGATCCCCAGAACCTATGTAAAAGCGGGATGCAGCAGTAGGTTTGTAGGCCTTATGTCCTCCTTAGGGGGAGATGGGAGACAGAGGCAGGAAAATCTGTAGAAGCTTCTGGGCCACTTTATGCAGCAGCAGAGAGACCTGCTTAAACAATGAGGAAAAGCAAGGACCCACGTCCTCTGATCTCCACACATGGGCTTTGGGACACATATGTGTATACCCAAGCACAAACAAGCATGCACGCACGCACAGAGAGAAAGTTCAGTGCATTGTAACAGACATTCAGATTATGAAGTGTGAGCCCAGCAAAAAGGCTCCCTGCCTGCCATCAAGCCTGACAGCCTGAGTCTGAGCCTTGGGACTCAAATGGTAAAAGGAGATAATTGACTCCCACAAGCTGTCCTCTGACCTTCACATGAGTACCTTGGTATATGTACACTTGCACACACACACACACACACACACACACACACACACACAAAACCACAATCGAATCAGTCAGTCAATACAAAGAAATCTGTGTTTTGAAAATAGTTTAAAGGGAGAAAAGGTTCATTTTGGCTCAGGATTTCAAAAGTTTCAGTCCATATAGATGGAGCAGACATGGCAGCCAGAGAACAGAGAATACCAGATCTCCAGATCTAGCTAGTTTCCTCCTTCCTCTTTTTAGCTCATCTGAGCCCCTGGCTCTAATGCATGGTGCTGCCCAGATTCAGCATGGGTCTTTCCCTTTGTTCATTGGCTCTGGAAATGCCATCAAAGACCCAGCTCAGTAGCAAGCTTTTACTAATCTCATAGGTATCTCTCAACCTGATCAAGCTGACCAAGATTAAGTATCACAAGTACTATGTATGCAACTATCCCATTAAATTTTTTCAGTATGTGAAAGCAAAAGGATATGAGGGAACTCTCAGGGTGTTCTCTGTCTTGGATGAAGGGGTCTATCGTGACCTTAAATCTCCAAATTGTAATGCCATATTCAAAGAAACGGCTGTTGATGGCCCCTACTTCTTAGGGTGTTGCTTGCAATTAAGTGGCAGAAGAAGGCACAGTGCCTAGAGCATACTGACCCAGTAGAGAAAGGAAGAGTGACCCAGGACAAAAGTCTGGAGGAGGACAGATGGGGCCCAAGGCCAGGGAAGAGTAAGTAAAGGCCAAATTGTAACCAGCCTGACAGGAATGAAGGTATTTTAAAGAAAACTGTGTGCCCCTTTCCTGGGCTAACAGCACATTGAAACGAAAGTGCCGAAGGAATTGGAAATTCCCCAGGAATCTCCTGCTGGGAGAAGGAAAAGGCTGAGTCCCATCCCAGAATGAGAGCTTTTCTCCCAGGTAGAGATTTCACACCAAGTGATAACTTGTCAGAGCACCTGGTCCAGAGAGACTGGAGCTGAGACAATGGTGGGTCAGTGTAGGTGGGACCACACCTGGGACAAAGGGTTGCTTATTTATGCATACCTCTTACCTCTATTTAAACCTAAACGTCAAGTCAATACTGGGAAGATGGACTAGTTGGGTCACTGAACCTCTTAGTTTCTTTTCTCAATGTAGCCATATGGAATACATTTCTCTGCTTTTCACTATTATTTGTTTAATTGACTGATTGTGGACGGTGGCACATCGTACTTTGTTAGGGCTGCCAAGGCCCTGGTTCTGACCATAACAACTCTAACAAAATCTGACCTTTCAAAACCCCACAAACAAATGAAGCTGCAAAAATCTAGACCAAATGGATAGGTGGATAAAATAAATCATTTTAGAATGAAAAGGGGAAGGTTCGTTCTCTAGGAGACTTGGCAGCTGCCATGGAAGAGAAAGTAGATCTTTTCTGTAACTGAGCAGTCAGGAATGAAGAGATTCTAAAGACACCTGTACCCCTCCCTTTGGCTTTAAGAAATCGGAATTTCCCCAGGAATTGCATTCTGGGAGTAGGAGAAAGCTGAAGTTTGATGCCAATCAGTCACAATTTGTGACAATTTGTCAGACCGCAAGAGGGAAGCTGAGACATATGTTCAGGCCACACCTTGACCAGGACAGCTTGGCTATGTGTACTTCCTGATGCTCTCTAATTAAACAACGTAAACCTCATGTTACGACCCCAGAGAAGGACTTTTAAAATATTCTAGATAGGATCCCTTGACAAATATATAATTTGCAATATTTTCTTCCATTTGTGGATTTTCTTTTTTACTTTCTATTTTTTTAATGGAGATTTAAGGTTTTTAAAAAATATTTTATTTATTGTTTTTATTTTATGTGTATGAGTGTATTGCCTGCATGTATGGGAGTTCACCCATGTCGTGCAATGCCGTGGAGGTCAGAGAGGGCTTCCGATTCCCCTGGAAGTGGGGTTAAGGACGGTTCATAGCCACCATGTGGGTGCTGAGAATCGAACAATCGAACCCGAGTCCTCTGCAAAAGCAGGCAGTGCTCTTAACTGCTGAGCCATCTCTCCAGGCCTGAGATTTAAGTTTTTTATTACATTTAATTAACTAATTAATTGTGTGTGGGTGTTGCTGGGATTCAACAGTGTGCATGTGGAGGTCAGAGGACAACTTGGAGTTGGTTCTCTCCTTCCACTCTGTAGATCCTGCAGATTGAAATCAGGTTGTTAGACTTGGCAGTAAGTGCTTTACAGCTTGTGCCATCTTGCCAGCCCTATACATTTTCTATTTTGTTTGTTTGGTTATTTTTTTTCAGTCTTTTTGAAACAGGGTCTCCCTGTAGCCCTAGCTGTTCTGCAACTCACTGTGTAGACCAGGCTGGTCTTGATCTCAGAGATTCAACTGCCTCTGCCTCCCAATCCTTTTTATGCTCTTGGTAGGTTGGTTATTGTTGTTGTTGTTGTTTTGTGAGGTTTTTTTTTTTGTTTTTTTTTTTTTTTGCAGTGTCTCACTATGTAGTTTGTAACCCTAGCTGCTGGCCTGGAACTTATTATTAGACCAGGATGGCCTTGGTTTGCCTGCCCCTGACTCCTGAGTGTTGGGATTAAAGGCATGCAACAGAATGCCAGACAAAAGTTTTAAATTTTGATGAAGTCCAAATTACATTGTTTTCTTCTGCTGCTTGTGGTTTTCGTGTCATGTCCCAGAA